CCTAATAAACCCCCTCTCAGTTCAGGTGGTTCCGCTCCCTGCTTTAGATTTCAGAGGAAGGAACCGATCTGCCTGCGTGTTCCACGCTGTAGGTGCAGGACTGAGACCCAACATGCACACTAACCATTCCATTGGCTACACTTGCATTTCAAAGCAAGCAGCCAAACTAATCCTTAGCTACAAACTGAACTCCAAGTTCATTTTCTAAATGCCAAGTAAAATGACAAAGAGCTGATCTTGTCCACTGACATCAGAGCCATCCAGCCCTTCGTGTCCAGATGGTGACCGACTGTATTCAGCCCACGCAGGCACTGGCTTGCCATCTCTTCCACTTCCCCTTTCCTACCAGCCGTTCTGCTTCCTCCACAGCATTTTGACCTGACCTAGCGGTCGATTTGGAAGACAGAGCACTCAGTTCTCCTGTCACTTTGGAGATCTCACAGGAAAGCTGAGGCCTTCCTATCACCAGTCAACAAATACGCCTATGATGTGCCAGGCATTATCCTAAGACCTACAGAAACACTCTGTCTTTGCCTGGCAAGAAAGAAGCTAGTTCACTTCTCTTATACCAGGCAGATTAAATGCTCCAGGGAATACTCCCTGTCCTGGCTTAGAGAAGAAGACCCAAACTGTTCAAAGCATGCACCTTGATGAGCTCCCAGCACCAGCTCCCCAGACCACCCCTGTTCCTGAGCCACTTGGGACCTGGTCTGTATGCACTAAGTCTCTGCCACACCTGGAGAGAGCAGGCAGCCCATGCCCACTGTGATGGGGACAAGAGAGGGCAGTCTACCTCTCTTTTCTTGACCCTTGGTATTGAATGAGACTCTGCTTCTCTCTGAATTCGGGAGGTCTCTCCTGAGAAACTGACTTCCAATGACTTTATCACACCCATCCCCGCTACAAGACTAACCTTATATTCATTAAAAAACCAATAATAGGACATGCAGAAAAAGACTTGATAAGTTATTTTAAGTTACTATGTATCTATCATCCAATAATTCCATATAGACTCAAAGTCACAATCCCCTGGTTAAATCAATGATGAAAGACTTTATTAAATTCTGAACTCAAGATTTATTGAGTATAGCATTTTATATGCTACGGTTTCTGCAATTTGGGTGTATTACCTGGGAATCCCAGTACTAATAGACAATAGTCTTTAGTCTCCCAGAAAAGAACATGTAACATTTTATCATCTGCCCATTCTAAACATGATGCTACCTGTCTATTCTGGCTCCAATTAAATGAGAAAGTAGAAAAATGGAGCATGACTAGAACAAAAGATCGCTGGCAAAATGAGTGCAGAGACAAAAACTATGATTTACTATGAAGTGGCATCTAAGTGTTCTTCCATTAATTACAAATCAATAAATGTGTACACAATCTCAATGGATTGTGCTAAACGACTGAGCATGTACCAGAGGATTCAAGTGGACAAGAAAGAAAGGCCAAACTCACTAGTCCAGTAACTCCTCCAAAAGTTACAGAGAGACCTAAATAGCCATGTATAAGGAGCGGCGCACGTAGAAGTTTTGGCTTAATAATGATAACTTTTTCGCAGTCCCTCTTCTCCTGTACCTCAGACCTGAGACTCACCTTGAGCAACAACAATAGTGTAAAGGTGATATAACTCTATTTGATTCGGAACAGCTGAGTGTGATGAGGTTCTCTGGGGAACCAGAGTGCTCCCGGGAATAAGCTTGCACTGTCTCGGAGACAGAAGCCGGCAGACAACCTGCTCAGGTGGAATCACACCACCAAAGTTCGAATCCTACCACCTCTTCCTTACTAGCTGGGAACTTTGAGCAAATTCTGTAACCACTCCGTGCATCAGTGTGGTGCTTGGGAAGGTTACATAAGACTATCTGTGGGCGGTGTCTCCCTGTCCAGCACCACGAACAGAACTCAAATGTCCAGTTATTGTGGCTGGGACAACACTGGGTGCTGTAGGCACATAGGACATTACCCACCCACTCCAGGGTAAAGGTCATTTCAAATCAATCACTGTGCCAATTAAGAATTGCAACTTAGCTCAAACATGTGGTCCCAAAAGTTACATTTTATTTGGCATTTAATCTATCTAACAGAAATATTAAAAGTATAAGTGTAAAGTGGGGCAAATAGACTGGCGAAAATGTCAACTATGGAGCATTTGATCTTAAGCATTCTGCTGTGCGTTCATTGCAATGTTTTTTCCTAAGCCCTCAAACTGTCTTTTAGAGAAGGAAAATATTTCTTTTTAAGTTCACAGCTAGCACATGAAGAACCACAGCTATTCACCGCTCTCCCCTTTGGCGCACACTGCCCAGCCAGCACCCCCCTCCTCCTTGTTCAGCTCCTTGACAGCAAAGGCCTCGAGGGCACGAAAACATTCTAGAATAAGCAGACAATTCTAAGCACCCCTTTGCAGCCTGTGTTGAGGAGGGAATGTCTGTGCCCTACCATCCTCATCACTGCACTTGCTGCTGACCAGCCACTGGGTTCCAACTTGCCCTCTCCCTTTGCCATAGAAGTGCTCACCAGGTAAGCTCACCTGCCTGCCTAGTGTGGTACCTGCGACTCCGCGTGGGAACTGGCTGGACTGCTTATGGCAGGGCAGAAGCATCTGCTTCTTACACACATTCATCCTTGAATGGCTTTGGAATAACAGGACCCATGATATTAAAGAATAAACCATTTAATTAGCAGGAAAGTCTGGGCAAGAAGCAGGGGGGGGGGGTCTTGTACCAGTTCATATGTGACTCAGTTTCCTAAAATGAGGATTGAAAATAACAACTGCCTCATGTATAAGGCAATGAATATAACAGCAGCTAACCTGAGTACCAACTGTGGGCCATGCACGGTTCTAAGCACTTTATAGGCAATAAATGAGCTAACACATAAGCAGCACTAAAAAACATGAGTCATTACCATTATTTCTAAACTTTTGTTTAGCATTAGACTCTTCTCTCTGAACAAAATCTCACCTAGAACACTATATAAAACAAGAGGTGGGGAGCAGAGGTGTTTCACATAAAACTGGGGTGGGGGGATCATTCCGCACTCCCCCCAGCCAGGGCCAGGCCAGCCCCTAGGGGCCGCCACAGAGTCCTGTGGCTCCCAAGAACATTACTTAAGACCCAAGAGTCTCGGGTCTCCCTTCACATTTCTACTAAACAAATGGATAGTGGATAAGCAATGGTAAAGAAGAACCACAGCTCATTGAAAAAAATAGTAAAAATGGCTACTAAAACCTCTGTCCATCATGCTGCCCATTCAGTGAGTTTTCTTTTGCTATTTCTGTTTGCTTTTTATTGTCAAGTATTCCTTGTTCTCATTTGCTACTATCCCAAAAGCAAGTCTCGGTCCCTTTCTTACCAAAAGAGTTAGGATAGGTTAAAAAGCTGTGGCATCTTAGCTTTGCCAAGTGATTTTAAACTCCGCCCCTCAAAAACATCACCAGCAAAGAAGAGAAACTATGCTCCTAAGTCCCTGGAGGTTATGTTTGGGAGAGAAAAGTTTTCCATAACCTGATCCTTGAAACACATTCTTCCACTGCCGCGCACCAACTGCAGACGCCACAGGCTGGAACAAAGAATTCTTGCTGAGTTCACAGTGCAGGCACACCTTGAACTTGGTGTATTGGGCGGAAAAACTCCTGGTGATTATGTTAAGCCCAAAGTAGGCACCTTTCCACCTCCCAGAGCAGCTTTTTCCAGCTGTGCCCCTACCTCCATTTCCAACTTTGCTTTCTCTGCCAAAATAAAGCAGGGAGAAGGGAAGAAAATAACCTAATAAAAAGTTCAAATGAATACACCCACAGGACATATTTGGCTAATTCCATAATAATCCAAGGTGCAGAAAGGTTAGAAAATGAGTTCATTCTCCAAACTTTTGAGAGTGGGAGGATCACTCTCAATTATAGAATTCTAGAGTGGGAGGGCCTTAGGGATCAGCCTTATGGAAGTCCAGAGTGGTTGTGGCTTGTAGCCACGCAGTCCTGGGCAACACGATGTCTTAACCTCATGTCCTGATCTCAGAGGGTGCTGCTTCCACTACACCCAACAGCAAAATCCCCAACTACTTGCTTTGTGGATCAAGAGCTCCTGCTGGGAACCAAGAACAGCGTTTGATAAGCAGACCTGGCACCTGCCAACTTCCCATAAACACTGCAGTACCTAGAGTCCAAACTCCGTGCGGGGGAACACACATGCTCCCAAAATTCACTGCGGGCTCACGCCCCTCGGGTGGTCACCAGAGTTACAGAAAGGAAATGCGCTCAAAGTTGAGAAGCAACTACGCTCATCTTCTTCGAGCTAGGACTCCAAGGCACAACTGAAGGAAAAAGCCCGTCACTTCTAAGGGCTTGGACCCAGCTGCCAACGCAGAGCGTGAAGACGCCGAGACACAGGTGGTGTGCCCCAGACCTCAGCGATCCGACTTGTTCACGACCTGTGCCATACTGTGCTGCTGCTTTGTCCTTGGTCACATTTTTGTTAAGAAGCCAGTTTTCTACTGTAGAGAGAGTCTCGATTGCAGCCCCAGTGTGGCCCACATCCTCTGCCAGCAAAGCGCGAAACCCATCAACTTCCCTCCGACAACAACCGAGTTCTCAGAGCGGACACCAGGCAGGGCCCGACGCCCCGCCTGGACCCCTCACCCTGCCCCTCCCCACCACTCCAGACGGCTTTCTCTTCCAGGAACCCGCCTTCCCCACCTAGGCAGATGACTCGAAGCCTGGACCCAAACCGCTCTCCCTCCCGAGGACATTCATTGTTCCTTATTCAGAGGCGACCTCGTTCCCCGACGGCTGCCCAAACCCTGCAGGGGGTGTGGAGGTGCAGCCCGTCACCGTCTGCGCCTGGGTCGGGGGTCCAGAGCCTCCCGCGCCTCGGAGCGGGGACCTCGTACCCCAAACCCGCTGGCGTGCCGACGGCGGGCGGAGAACAGCGCGTCCCCGGCTTCCCGCGCCCCCCGCCCCCGCCCCGCCCCGCCCCACCGCCCCGCCCGGGGCCCACCTGCGGCGCGGGCACTAGACCGATCCGGCTCCCGCGCCTGCGGGGGGCTCCTTCGCGCCGCCATGCCGGCCGCGCGCTGCGGACGGGCGCGAAGCCTCGGCCTGTCAGTCTGTCAGTTGCGGCGGCCGCCCGCCGGCGCCGGGGTTCGCTTCCCGGCGGCGGGAGGGCGCGGGAGGAACGGAGCAGGGGGTGGTGGTCCACGCTCCCGCCCCTGGTGTCGCGGCGGCCGACTGACGCACCGTTTCACCAATGGAAGGCCGCTGCGGAGCCTGAGGGCGGGGCCTGGTGGGATGGGCGTGCCCTCAGGGTGGAGTCGGAGTCGCAAGCTGGGGCTGAGCCAGGGCGTTGGATGCTGGAGAGTAGTGTGGAGGCTGCTCCAGCGATCCGGGCGCTTATCCAAGGAAAACAGCCTGGGATTTCCACCTGGACTGATAACGCGATCTCCCTGCCCTTTACTCGGTCCGTTGAGTGGGAAGGACAGAAACCTGGAGAGTGGGGTGATGGGAGGAGGAACTAGTGCGTTTTTTCCTCTCCGCTGAAAGATAATAGGATTCCCTTTCTGGCCCTTAGGTCACAACGCTTGTGGGTGTTAGCCAAGGGAGGGCGAGCCTGGAATCCAGATGTAGCTATTGGCCCAGGGCCTGTTTCACTAGAGTGGGCAAATTTTCTGATCTTAAATTTCCCTCTGGGTCAGCAGAACCGGGTTCTGCTTACTTAGAACTTAAACAGTTTACTTTAGGAGCTGGAATGTGTGGGTTAGTGACAAAATTAATCTTCCGACAAAATTATTTAAAAAGGAAAAAATATGGGAGTAGCAAATGGTGAAAATGAACAGCCCAACAATAAAAAGACCCTCACGACAAGGTTCTTTTGCTCCCATTTCCTAGTCAGATGGACACCCCCCCTTTTCTTTTTTAGAAGAAAAGGGAAGAAAATTAAAATCCAGTGTATGCTTCCTCTTTTTCGCATATACACAATTCCAGAGACAGATTTTCTTGTGCCTATTGTGGCACCTTTTGAAACAGAAAGTTCATAACAACAGAAAGATGTGGAAAACACCCTGGAATTTTAGGTGGCTCCAGTGCACCTGGAACAATGTCTACAAGTAACAGAATCACTGTCCCCCTTTTCAGAATCTCAGAGCCAATGACGCAATCACAATGGTTGGCAAATGCAATCAAATTCTGGATCACAGCAATGGCAGTTAGTACAATGTTAGGGATTTACTGATAGGTAACATCAGGCCAGCCACTAGGGTAATCCTTGTACATATATTTGATGTATCATTTCACCTAATGAGGTAGGTACTGTTGTCCTCTGCAGTTCGCAGATGAAGAAACCGAGGCTCAGTAAATGTTACTGCAGTGTCTAAGCCTAGATCTGATCTCTCAACCACCCTACCTTCTGCAACCATGACTCATAGAAGATACTAAAAATGTTCCCAAACTCTGCTGCATGTTTAGGGGAAAAAAAATCCCTTTTATCCAAATCAGATTTTCACAAAGAGGGTAGTTTTCTACAGCCGTAAACCAAAACTGCTGTGTGTAGCTATGTGTGACTCATGTAAAACAAATTACTTTAAATTGCTGTTCCTAATTAAAGCCAAACAAAGTTATGAGCAGTGATGAGTACAATTGTCTATTTTAGAAGCCAAAAATAGTAGGACTCATTTCTTGTGGTAAAAAAAAAATACAATGAAATTTACTTAAGTCTTTAAATCCCAAAAACAAATTAGCCAGTAACTTTCCTTCTCCTCCTCCTGCAAGATAATATTTATGAGCCCTGTTTGGACTCGCCTACAATCTTTTCAATTCATTTGTGCTCAGGATTTCGTGGTTTGCTGTTCATCGTCACTCGGAAAGCTGAGTGGGAGGCCCCATAGCGTGGTACTTACAGACCTAGACCTTGAAGCAAGACGGCCTGGTGTGGCTGCAGGTTAGCCACAGTCTTGTGCAATTATTTAATGTTTTGTGCCTCAGTTTCCTCATCTGTAAAACAGCGTTCGTAAAGAGTATTCACCCTGGCTGCTGCTCCGGGATTGGCACGCGCCCGGACCAAAACATTCGCGGTCATCCCCACAAGGGCCTGGTTCCCCGCGCCCCGCAGGGAATCTCTCCCCCCCAAAAAAAAAAAAAAAAAAAAAAAAAGAGTATCTTCTTCACGGGGTTGTTATGGGGATAAAGTGACTAAATATGTATAAAATCCTTAGAGTGATGCTTGGACATAATAAACACTATATAAATATTCACCAAATAAAGAGGATGTCACTACACAGAGATTTGTGAGTGACTTTCTGAACTACCCATGTGTGATTCACCAAATGTCTTAACAGTGATAAGATTATTGATTTTTTTAAATAAAATACCTGGATGGTGAGCTCTTTGAGGACAAGAATTCTAATGCCTATTGTTTAGCTTAGAGTTTGAATATTGGCGAATGGGTTAATTGAGAATATGGTGTGAGGCCACCTAAAGGTTGCTTCACACTCAACAAAGACATCTGTAGTAGTGGTCTCAACTGCAACGTTGACACAAATACTTGCACTTGCCAAAATATTGACCTTAGAAAACTAAGAAGCACAGGAAGTGCCCAGCATTGCACCTAGAGGCCACTTGACTGTGATGCTGGAGAGCTCAGAATGTGTGGCCAGGGCAATGCTTCAGTTGGCCACATGAGGATCTTGATAGGGCCCAAATCAGAATAAAGAAAGAAGAGGGGAAAAAAAAACAAACCGACAAACACAAAAGAGAACCTGGTCAATAGTATTTGCAAATATTTTCCTGGAATTTTTCTTTTCACAAAGTTTTGGCCATTTGAATTCCAAAAACGGAATGTCAGCCTCCACAATGTTTGAAGACATTGTAACAGGTCTTTTTTATTCCTCTGCCACGCCCTTCATTTTGCTCCAGGGTCACTCATGTCTACCTGGGTCAGCCTCAAGCTGGGACAAGTGGACGTGGGGAACCCACTACACCTGTGGGCACCGATCGCACTTTTTCTTTCTGTTGAGAGTTTCCTTGGTTGATTGACTTCCGCTTAAACATCCTCCTCAAATAAAGACATTGCAAAGGAAGTTGCTGGTCAGTTGCTGTAACTCCTGTACCAAAAATGGTGCCTGGCACATGGGAGTCACTCTCAACATTCATTTAATGAAAATATGAGTGAACGTGTGAGTGAAGGTAATGACTGGACTTACTACTAAGAATCGGTGAAATTTTCCCACCTGTGCTCACTTCCAATTGTGCTTATCTGAATTCATTGTCTTTGTGTGTGTGTGGTGAAATAGATAAAATACAATTTACCATTTTAACCAGTTTTTAAATGTACAGTTGAATGATATCAAGTACATTCACACTGTTGTGCAAATATCACCAACTACCCATCTCCAGAACTTTTTGCACCTCTTCCAATTGAAACTTTGCACCCATTAAACATAACACTCCATTTCTCTCCCTCCCTCACACTCAGCTCCTGGCACCCATCATTCTGCTTTCTGTCTTTGGCTACTTTCTGAATTTGACTATTCTAGGTGCTTCATATAAGAGGAATAATATAGTACTTGTCCTTTTGTGACTGACTTACTTCACCAGGCATAATACCGTTCTTAGGATTATTCCACATTGTAGCATGTGTCAGAATTTTCTCCCTTTCTAAGGCTGAGTAATATTCTATCATATGGATACTCCACCGTTTGCTTATCCATTCATCCATCAGTGGACACTTAGGCTGTTTCCACATTTTGGCTGTTGTGAATAATGCTATGAACACAGATGTGCAAAATTTTTTGAGTTGTTGTTGTTTCCAGTTGTTTTGGGAATAGACCCAGAAACAGAACTGCTGGATCATACGGTAATTCCAAGTTTAACTTCATGGGGAACAGCCGTGCTGTTTTCCAGAGTGGAAAACACTTCTACCAGCGATGTGTAAGGGTCCCAGGTTCTCTACATCCACATCAACACTTGTTCTTTTCTATTTTTTAATACAGGGTAGGGCAAAAGTAGGATTACAGCTGTGAGAACACAAAACACAGAGTTTATCCTTGTATTAGTATGTATCCGTTACTGCATTATTTTCCCTACAAACAACTGCAAACCTATTTTGCCCCGCCCTGCAACAGCCATCCTAACGGGTGTGCAGTGGTATTTCATTGCGCTTTTGACCTGCGCTTTCCTAATGATTGATGATGCTGAGCATCTTTTTATGTGCTTGTGAGACATGAGTATAATTCTCTTTGGGGAAATGTCATTAAAGTATTTTGATTATTCATTGTCTTTGAAAACATTATGTCACCACTGTAGATATCCATAAAAATTAAAATTTGAGCAACCCTTATCTTTCTACTTTCATTGTACCTTGTATCTGAGAATAATTACATGAAGTCCCTGAATAACTACAAAAGCTTTTATTCCAAAATCAGTTAGGGTTAGTTTTTCTAATGGAAGACAGTGTGTAGAGGTTAATAGGTGAGGATGAAGAAGATAAAGAAGGAGAAGAAGAAGGATGAAGAAGAAGAAGAAGAAGAAGAAGAAGAAGAAGAAGAAGAAGAAGAAGAAGAAGAAGAAGAAGGCAGAGTATAATTGAGCACTTACGTGGTGCCAGCCCCGGTTAAGTGCTCTACATGTATTAATTAATTCAACTCCACTCCAGCCATTTGAGATATGTACCATGATTATTCCCAATATACAAAGAAACTGAGGCACAAGGGGTTTAAAGTATCTTGTGCTAGCTCTTTCCACTGTTAAATGGCAGTCCAGGATTTGAACTCAGCTTCCAGGACCATGTAGCAAGTATCCTCTGAAAAATACTTATTTCTCAGGAACTCAATGACTCCCCAAAAGCCCCAACTAGTCTCTTTCTTGGATGAGCTGAGGCTTGGCGAACCGGTCTACCTTGGAACACGCCAGTCCGGGCACAGGGAAGCTGCCCCATGTCCACCATCACAGCATGAGGATGAGCCGATGCTGCAATGGTGTGAGGCCAAGACCCAAGCTGGCGTTTCACAACCAATGCTGAGAACCCAGAGGGCCAAGGTGGAGACAGAGAAGCCAGGGTGTGGAGCCTCCACAGGCAGGGAAACCAGGAGAGTCCTTGAGAGGCGCTCACGTGGTAGGAGCAGAAACAAGCCTGAAGACCCCTGAAGCTGTGCAGCAGGCCCTGGCAGAAGCTTCAGTGACTTCTTTCTACTGGGTGCTTTCAGCTGTTCAAGCTTGGGCCTCATGCCACAATTCAAAAT